GAAGCGAAAAAAGAGGAGGAGAGAGAGAGAATACAACGACGAAACTCAATAGGCCACTTTGATCGTCAATTTTGGTTTTGATTTGTTCACCTTGAAAAGATACTATACAAAAATAGGTCAATAGCTACGAAAATATCCGTCGTTAAATCTAAAATTTTTATTGCCTTTTAGGTTTAGCTATGAAATAGCGATGGAAAGTAACCATCACTAAAATGCTTGTCGTTAAATTTTTTAGCGACGAGTTAACTAGTTTGTCGTAATATAGTGATGAAAATTTTATCACTGTTTCAATGTATTTTCATCGCTATTTCATTGTAAACATTTGTACGATTGGTTTGAAATCCATCGTTATATAGAGACAGAAATTCATTGCTAAATGTTGTGGCTAATTATAATCGTTATCTATCGTTGGTATCCATCACAATTTTTGGTCGCTAATAGTTAAATTTATTTTATTTTGTCGTTAGGGTGTCACTAATCCATTACTAAATTAAGGGTTTTTTTTTAAATATCATTAATAGGCTTTTAAATATTCCGTCCTATTAGCCAATAATTAAAAATAAAATTATAACACATAAAATATTATTAAATGAATATAAAATTAAATATAATATATATATAGCGATACAATCCGGTATACGAACACATTAAAAAAAATAAAAATAAAAACTAGTCCTCATAAAAAATCATTTGCTGCATCATCTTTTGGATGCTTGGATATAGGAAAGAAAATCGAACTCTTGGGTAAAAGGAGGGGAAAGTGTAAAAGGAAAGACATGACTCTTGAGTATTTCCTCTAATATATGCTCCATCCGATGGTTTTCCTCTTCATATTTTTTCTCCACCTCCCGGATCTATTGAGCATATGGATGCCATCTATTTTCCAACTTCGATCGTGCCACTCATTATCCTACCGCATATGACTAGGAAATCGTGATGTAGTAGAGGCTGAGCTGGCACCGAAAAGAAGTAATACGAGAGCGCCCATGATCCGAGGTCGTATACTCTATACATTTTCTTCATTCCTATAACCTCAAGATATATTCATGATATGTCGATGCTTGTAGATGATGAACCATCCGGTTGTTGGCTAACGAAACACAATTGGTCCACACACCCCTACACAATCAAAAAAATTATAATATTAAATCATAAATATATTATTTTGATTGAATTTACATATGTATAATTAAAATAAATCAATTTTCAATTAATCATCGCCACATAAATATCAATAAAACTAATTATTTATCTATAACAAACAAATTTGACCAAAAATTAATTTATCAATTTTTAAATTTTAAGTTCAAATAATCGGATATTATGTCAATTTTAAATTTAATAACTTAATTATCTAATGGTCTTTATTTTTAATCATTTTATAACAAATTTTAGACTCAAAGTTTTATCCTAATTTATCAACACACAAGCCTAATTAATTCAAACAATTCTAATAAATTAAAAATAAACTCAATTAAATTTCAAATAACATAATTGAGTTTTTTTTAACATATTTATTAATAATTAATTACACATATACAAATGGGTAAAATTTTAAACACTCAAGAAATAAAAAAATCAAGATTAATACACAAAATTCACATAAATTAAATATAAAATATGAATTTGGAGAAAGAAATACACCTAATTGGGCTTCTCTTTCAATAGAGAAGAGAGACACACACACAAGGCAGAGCACACTCGAAAGAAAGAGAAAACCACAATTTTTTTGGGAGAGAAGATGGTTGGAGTGGTTGGAGATTGATGGGGAGAGGAGAATGGTATTGGTGAGGTGTTTTAGGGGGTGTTGCGAGTGGTGGCAAGCCTATGAGGTGGCTGCAACGAGAGGAGGAAAGGGAGAAGGAAGAAGAAAATAGGGGAAGAAAGAAGATCTATCAATTAGAGATTTAATTTTAGTAGAGGATGCGACTGCGTCGCTAATCCCTCGCTGATTTTCAATTTTAAACGATCGTCTCTTTTATAAAAAATAACGACTTACTAACATAATCGTTGCTCGTTATTGGTGAATTTAGCGATGAAAAACTTGTTTGTTGTTGATTGATGATGGAATATTCCCTCTCTAACCGAGCCCAAATGAAAGACTAAAAATAGCAACGGATTGGTATATCTATCATTGAATGTCCTTGCAATTTCGTCACCGAAACAACTATGAGTATTTTACCACCATATTGAATGATGGATCGCGTCTATTGTTGAATGTCCGTTGCAAATTGTTCGATAGTCCATTGCTAAATTTCATATTTTAAAATCGTTCGCTAATCTGTTGCTATTTAGCTACGGATTGTAATTCGTCACTATTAAATTGTTGTTTTTTTTATAGTGGGAAGAGTTTATTGATTTTTTTTCTAAGCCATGAACTAGTTTAAGAAAAAAGATCAATACTCCAAAATATTTACTTGAGATTTTAATTTGATTTGGATATTTGAGTAAGAATATTTTTATGTTTTAAATAATGATTAAAATTAAGTAAGAAGTAAAAAAAAAAAAAATGGTTGTTATATGTGTGAAGCTTATGCACGGGGACCAACATGTATGCCTTGGAAATAAAAATATATGTTAAGGAAAGAAAAACCCACGAGTTTTATTTACTTTATATATATATATATATATATATAGAAGATTCAAATTTATCGAAATTAATTTTATATGTATTTTTTTATTGAAAATTGACTATGCATGTATACACAAAACAATTAATACTACTTAAAAAAATATTTTCAAATCAATTTTCATTATATAAAATAATTAAAATTATGTTAAAAAAAACATGTGTATCATACTTTTCAAATAAAGTTTTTTTATACTAATATTATTGAGTATTTTAAGAATACACATACACTATTCAAACTAAATTTAGGTCAGTCGAATTAAAAAGAGGTAGATGATGTCTGGACACTTGGATCATGTGGAATTAACTAAGGTGGTTGCTGAATTTCATTGACGCGGCGTTGGCTAAAAATCAAACATGTACGAGACCAGCATGTATGACTTGGAAATAAAAATATCTGTTAAGAAAAAAATAAAACTCATCTGTTTATTTATTTTTTATGTATAATTTAAATTTATCAAAATTAATTGTATATGTATAATTTTATTAAAAATTGATTATTTATACACACAAAACACTTAACACTATTTTTTTTAAAAAGATATTCTTAAATTAATTTTCATCAAATAAAATAATTAAAATTATGTTTAAAAACACATGTGTACCATACTTTTCAAACTGAGTTATATATATATATATATATATATATATATATATATATATATATATATATATATATATATATTCAATAAGGATAAAAAATTATTTTTAATTTTTATATTAATTATTGTTTTATTTTTTCGATACAATCATATGAAGTAATTAAATTTAAGTATTTTTTTTTATTTTTGATTGATTAAAACTTGTATTTTAGATTATTATAACTTTTTATTTAAGAATTCACGCATAAAGAAAAATAAATCATATGCTCTTAAAAGAAATTTATTAAAAAACATAAGAAAGAATTAATTAAGTATAAATTTTTTTTATTAAAAATCATAAAGTTAGGAGAATTTTTTTTTCATTTCCATAAAGTTTAATTGATTTGTATTATTACAAAAAAAAATAAAATCTATAATTATTTTTTCAAACGATTTTATTTATTTATTTTATCAGCTCCGCATAGCTAGTATGTTTAAAATCAAAGAATGAAAATAATAATAATAATAAAAAAATTGGGTAATGATCACTTCTCACAGACCAGTAATATTTTATTGGTAGCGTGATAACAGCATATTAATCATGGAAGAATTGGGTTCTACGTGTCTTTGAACACATTGCAAAATATTAACATCACATGACGGAAGAGAACTTATAAGATATGTTTTTTTTTAAAAAAAAACAAATAAGAATAAAAAATCTAAAATTATTCCTAAAATATCTACTATTGTTTTTCATTAATTATTAAAGTCTTCCTACTGATAGATTACCAATCAAAAAACAAAGTTGGATTTAAATTAACGATTCTGTCTTTTTTATTGTTTTTTTTTTCAAATTCAGAATCCGGTTGAATATAAATTACAGACTTGGCCATAAAACCCAGAAAAGCTACTACAAAACACAGGTGCACCCTTCTCATTTTAATGATCTTACACACACACACACTAGTTTTACGACAATTGTTCTATCAATCCATATTAAATATATCACTTTTCAAGTTAAATCATGTCTAATTTTTAATTCATTTTAAAAATCGAATTTTATAATTCTATCAACAGCTCATATTCCATACAAAAAATAAAAAATAAACATGATAAATCAAAAATACTATTTTTATCATTTTACTACATGTACTATTAGGTGATGCTTGATCACATCTTGTACCAGCAGAATTTGACTCTGTTGTAGCTATAGCTAAAGTATTTGTCTTGGTCTAGCTGTAGCTAAAGTACACAAATTAAAGCACATAAACCATCAAGTTGCCAAGGCAGCAGCACATGGATGACAGACCCTGTATATACATGAATATGATTCCATTCTATCCATACTTCTCTACTACTACCACATTTTTGGTCTTGTTCGCTTTCCTCTTACGCCACCCACCTTCCTTCCCCAATAAAATCCATCACACCCATTTGCTTACGTGTCACTTCCACGCTTCTAAAGCCGACGCTCATTTCCTCCATGGGCCCCCACCTTTTAATTCTAGGAAATGAACAAAAGTCCCCCTCCCGTCCATTGGACAAGGAAAGTCATTACCCAAATAAACCTTTCAGTTTAAATAATAGAAAACGAGGACCTAATTTATTTATTTTTCTTGTTGTTGTCATAATCCTTCATGGATAGGGGACCCAATTGAAATCTTTCTTTATTTGGGTACTCAGTTGAGAAAAACTTGATGAAATAGTATTTTGTTATGCTCTGTTTTAAAACACAAACTCACTCGTAACAGTCATCTCCACTCCCATTCTGCTCTCTCTCACTTTCGCTAATGGAGCTTCTAATTCTCTCAATCTTCACGTTCTTTTTCTTCTCACGTGCTGACTTACCCGGCACGTGGGATCTTCTAGTCCCAAACGCAGGCATATCCTCCATGCACACTGCAGTTACTCGCTTCAACACCGTAGTCCTTTTAGACCGGACCAACATAGGTCCATCTCGTAAAATGCTACGCAAAGGCCACTGCCGTTTCGACCCCCACGACGCCGTTCTCAAGCGAGATTGCTATGCTCACTCCGTTCTCTTGGATCTCCAAACCAATCAAATCCGTCCACTCATGATCCTCACCGACACCTGGTGCTCATCTGGTCAGTTTCTCCCTGATGGCACTCTTTTACAGACAGGTGGTGACATGGACGGGTTCCAGAAGATCCGAAAGTTCGACCCTTGTGACTTTAACGGGTCTTGTGACTGGGTCGAACTTGATGGCGTGGAATTGAGTGAGGGCAGATGGTATGCTACTAATCAGATTCTCCCCGACGGGTCGGTGATTATTATTGGGGGTAGAGCAGCCAACACTGTAGAGTACTATCCACCTCGAAACGGTGCCGTGTCGTTTCCATTTCTTGCTGACGTGGAAGATAAACAGATGGACAATTTATACCCTTACGTCCATCTCCTCCCTAACGGTAAACTTTTTGTGTTCGCTAATACCAGAGCAGTTTTATTTGATCACGAGACAAATAAAGTTGTGAAAGAATATCCACCCTTGGACGGGGGCCCAAGGAATTACCCGTCAGCTGGATCATCAGTCATGTTACCGTTAGAGGGTGATTATTCGACGGCTGTGATTGTTATTTGTGGCGGGGCCCAGTATGGCGCTTTCATCCAGAGGAGCACCGACACCCCGGCGCACGGTGGGTGTGGGCGTATTGTAGCTACATCACCTAACCCGATTTGGGAAATGGAGGACATGGCATTCGGGCGGATCATGGGTGACATGGTAATGTTACCCACGGGTGAGGTTCTAGTTATTAATGGAGCTCAAGCTGGGACCCAAGGATTTGAGATGGCATCGAACCCGTGTTTGTATCCACTTCTCTACAGACCTGGTCAACCCGCTGGGTTACGGTTCATGACATTAAACCCGGGAACTGTACCCAGATTGTACCATTCAACAGCTAACCTGCTACCGGACGGTCGTGTATTAATAGCAGGAAGTAACCCACATTATTTGTACCGATTCAAAGCTGAATTCCCAACTGAATTACGAATTGAAGCATTTTCACCAGAATATTTGTCACCGGATCGGGCTAACATTCGACCCGTAATTGAGGAAATACCCGATACGGTGAGCTACGGGGAGGCTTTTCATGTGTTGATATCCGTCCCTTTGCCCGTCGTGGGAATCGTAGATGTTAATTTTGCAAGTGCACCCTTTGCAACACATTCATTCTCACAAGGACAAAGATTGGTTAAATTGACGGTTACACCCTCCGTTCCGGATAGTGGAAATCGGTATAAAATTGGGTGCACAGCGCCCCCAAGTGGAGCGGTGGCTCCACCAGGTTACTACATGGTTTTTGCAGTCAATCAGGGCGTGCCAAGTGTCGCACGCTGGGTGCATTTGGTGGCTTAACGTATTATATGTTTTTAACTTCTTCTTATTTTAATTTATTTATGAACCAATTGGAATGCTGTAATTGTTGATATAGAAAAAAAATTGGAAAAGTACTTTATAGTGTAAAAGTATGACGATAAAGGCAAAAGAACATGGTGGGTTGCAATTGTTGTTGGTTGCTAGTGTAGAGTGCTATTGAATCAAAGATTGTAATGTTGTCACTTCAATCACTGAAGATTCCTTTAAGGACCCTACAATTTTATTTTTGTTTTTTTGTCCTTCTAGAGGGACCTAGCTAAATTCAATTATCACCCAAGATGAAGTCTATGAACATAGTGACAATGACTTGCAAAGTTTTGGTTTCTTTCTTTGTGATTGATTGCCGTGACGGCATACCCTTTAGCTTATCGCAAGCATGGCATAGCTATGAATAGAAAGTGCACTTAGATAATTGTAGTCCCTACATGAAATTCTGCTTTTCTACTGTAAATCGCACAAAATGCATTCATGAAGCATGAAAAATTGCAAAATAACCACCAACATGTGCATATTTCAACTGGTAATACTAAGCAAAAACATAAAATATAATTTTGTTGATTATACACTATTACTATCACATAGTAGAGCTTAAGCATCAATGATTATTTATAAAGTAGTAGCATATGTATTTCAGGCCATTGAAACTTCAAAACCATCTTCACAGCAGTCAGCCACAGCCACACTCCTCTGCACATTTTTGTATGAATATCGCCGAGCCAAGAACACATACACAATTAAGTTTGCTGCAGTCATGGCGGCTAAAAGCCAGTAAAAGTTATCGAGGCGGCTGGTGTTTAAGTCTTTCCCAAACCAACTCTTGCCATTTTTCTCAGTCACATGATCTACAGTTGTGATCAGGAGACTGCTAAGGAAGTTTGCTGCTCCAATCACACCAAGGTAAAAGGCAATGCCTAGGCTTCTCATGGAATCAGGAACTTGGTCATAGAAATACTCTTGCAAGCCCACTAGAGTAAATCCATCTCCTACACCAATGATGATGAATTGTGGAGCCAACCAGAAGACAGACATTGAAAGCGAACCCTTCACTGGATCCTTCTCTACAACACCTAGTCTCTTCCTCTCGACCAAGGCTGAAACTACCATTGTAGAGATTGAGAAAAGCATTCCAAAGCCAATTCTCTGGAGGATTTTGAGGCCTCGCTCGTTTCCTGTAGCCCTTCGTAATACAGGGACTAAGATCTTCTCGTAAATCGTCACGGAAACTATCATTCCAATAGCCGCAAGCGCGTAGACTGAGGCTGGAGGGATCTGAAAGCCATTCCCAATATTTCTGTCTAACATAGTGCCCTGCTTGACGAAGAATGTGGCTGTTTGTGCTACAGAAATGCCAAATGGTAACGTAGCTAGCCATATTGGGATCAAATTGAGAATAAGCTTCATCTCTTCAACCTTGGTCACGGTTGCCAGTCTCCAAGGATTTTGCTTTTCAGCACCATATTCCCTATCCTCCACAATAGCCGCTTTGTCAAGAAACCTGTAATTCATTTGTGAAATGAGCAGTTCAAAAAATTAGGATGATACGAGCCAAATTACTAGGATATTTGACACCATTCATTGGAAATATAATATCGATCAGTTCACTTGCTTACTTGAGACTTTCGGTATGGCAGAGAAGCCTTCCTTTATCCTCTTTTGACTTGGGAAGTTCATACAATTCGGCAGGATTAGAAGGATATGGCAGGTTTCTTTTCCTGATGGCAGCCACTAGAACCTGCAACATCGGGGTTAAGGGAGACCCTGTTGGCACCTGATAACGGTAAAATGGCCTTCCTATAATGAAGATAACTAGCGATAAAGCCATAACTGCTGTAAGAATGACATCTGCAGCGCCCCAACCAACATGATCTTGTACATAAACAACCACAGTCACACCAAGTAGAAGCCCACTACATAGGCCAAAGTTCCACCAGTTGAAATAGGACATCTTTTCCTTTCTTTCTTCATCGTGATTCTCGTCAAATTGGTCGGCTCCAAAACTCTCCAACGAGGGTTTGTGCCCTCCGGTTCCCATGGAGATCAAGTAAATTGCAAGAAAGAAGACCACTTCATGAACCTTCCTAGGCTCCGGACACACAGCTGCACCATCACAAGCCTTTAGACTTGGTACCAACGTCGACATTGTTAAGAGAATCAAGCCCTGTTGGTTCAAAATGCATAGTATAGAACTTTCAGAACAAATTCAATAAAAAGAAATTGTTTGAAAGAAACTATGGAATTAAATAATTTCTCTTTTGCAGAGACCATTATATTCATTTGCCTAGGACCTTAATTAGAGATGCCGGTAAAGGGTAATTAACATCATTTCCGAAGGGCTTTCCCTGGGACCAACGAAAACTTTCAAGAAATCTACGAAGCAAAATGGACAAGAAGCCCAAATTTGTCTTTCATGGTTCTCCTCAACTTTTGATAGGCCCATCTTCATCACTAGGGTGAAATATAAACTTTTACTAATTAAAGAAGAAAAAAAAATGTAGAAAATGAAATTACCAGAAGGTAGACAACAGATGAAACAAAAACAGTTGTGAATCGGCCCAAGTAAGCATCAGCAAGAAAGCCTCCAAATAATGGCATCAATGTGGTCACGCCAGCCCAGTAGTTTACACTCTTAGCCGCCGTCTTAAGGTCTTGATGCATCACCTTGGTAAGGTAAATGATTAGGCTCGTTGCCATTCCAAAGTAACTCAATCTCTCACTGAATTCAATTGCTGCCAAACAATAACGCCCCAGTTAATTTTCAAGATCTAATATACTATTTTTGTCCACAAAAAAATTGTCTTATCTGATTTTTCACACAGATTGAAAAAATTATTAATTATTATACTATATTAATATTTTTTTGTTTATGCTTTTTAATATACATATATACACACAACATTTTATATAATAAAATTTAATTAAAAGTGTTTAAAAAATATATTACTTAAAATTTTAATTAAGCAAAATTTTGAAAAACATATAAAGATACAAGGTAATCTCAAATTTCATTCTCATGAACCCAACTAGGAAAAAAAAAAAAATCTATGTCATATACATAATTTTATGGCCATAGAATTTCTGGGCCTTGAACCACTGGGGACTAGTCCATAGTTATAACTATGATCAAAGAGTAAATTATAAATCAGTCCCTCTAGTTTCAAGAAACAAATTAATTAATCTTTATCGTTTCAAAAACTATTATTTAACCTTTTAATCGGCATTGACCATACTTAATTTAATATTATTTTATTTAATAAAATATCTTATTTCCTTATCAATCTTTTCATTTTTTTCTTTTTCTATTTCTTATAACAAAAAATCAAAATACATTAAAATGGAGCAAAAAGGACTAAATTATAAGTATATTTTAAAATATAAGGACTAAATATTTAATTTTTAAAACAAGAGAGACTAATTAATTTATTTTTCAAAACAAGAAGGACTAATTTAAATTTACTCTCTATAATCAATTGGTGGGTTTTTATTTATTTTTATTTCTTGTCCCCTTTTTAATTATGAGATTGTACAAGAAGGGAAAAGATTTGTGCTGTTTTTGTGGACCTTACCACGCATCTTTGTAGCCATTACAGGCTATTTCATTCACTGACCTAATAAAGTTGTAGGACCATGCAAAGCATAAGTTCTTCTTCATATTTGTGATTGTAAGCGAAGAATCAATTTGTATGAAACTTTTACTGGTGTTGACAAAAACATGTCCATGAACTAAGAATAATTGCACTTCATTAAACAAAAGACTCAACCACAAGTTGATATATATATATATTGTAAGTTTGATAATTAGAAGATCTAGTTAAGGCTCTTATTTTGAGAATATTTTACGCTTTTATGGCTATCAAATTAAGATTCATGATGTATTTTTTTAAAATAAAAATATTAAGATTCTGATTAGTTTTTCAAGAATATATAAAAAAATCTTTTATTGTATTAGCCCCTCCTGTACAAGCTTATAATCACAAATTATAAGAGATTAACACCATTGAAACTAAGAAACATTATGGTTTTAGAGTAGTGCTATATGTTAAAGGAAAAAAAGAAAAAAGAAACATAATTCACAAATGGTGGTTTTATCCAACTTCGTTAATCACCATTTGTCATATGTGTCTATTTGTAGAGAACTTGTTCCAAGTATTCAAGGCAGACAGCTCTATCTACATGACTTACCACTAATTTTTGAACAAGCGATGCTGTTTTCATGAATCTCCTTTTTTTAAGAGAAACAATTGCTAAAAAAGTTTTTTATAATAAAAAGATCGTTAAAGTTGATCAGAGAGAAATAAAGGCTAATCTAAAGGTTCAACTCATAAAATACTTTAACATAAATTACTTATAATGTTCTTCTCCTTGGAATACATACATTTCAATGATCCATACAAAACATGCTATAGCTACCAAAGAGTTTGCTTCTAATGCTTCTAATATATACACACCAAAATGTTCTAAAATATAGAGGACCTTAGATGCACACCACTAATCATGTATATATCATTATCCTATTTTTTTCATTTAAAGAAATCGTAAATAGATGGTATTTTTTTTTGTTTTTTTTGAAAGAGAAAGAGACGGGACATCCAATCCAAGGAATGCTAAACTGAACAATAGGTCTTATGTGACCAAAACTTAGCATTTTGTTTTGAGAACAATATTGAGTTTCATCATGCAAAACTTTCATAGAAGTAATCCACAACTATTGAACCAAAAAGAAATTAGTGGTAATATATATATATTCTTGGTACTCTCTGCTCCCACTGTACAGAGTTTTATAATTATTCGCTATATATTAGCACATTACCAATTTGTTTGACCACTTGTAAACCCACAAGAATGTTTTTTTCCTTTTCTTTTTTTAATAATTTCCAAAGCACATGGTAATGACGAAAATTGTATTAAATGTGTTGCTAACTTGCATGGATAGACATATTTGGAATCATTAAAAGGAAAGTCAGGAGTCCCATGAAGAGTCA